TTTTCCTTTATGCATTAGAAGGACATTAATTAGTTGGATATTTTTCCAAAATGAGAAAAGGAGAAGCAGCAAAAATAGGCAGACAATGATAAATAAGAAAGCTGAACAAGATCAAAGTGGTATCCTAAGTTGAACCCCGGAAAAGAGACCATTTGAGTGTGAGCATTTAATTTACTTTTCCCACTCATAAAAACTATGTTTGTGTTGTATAAGACAGACATGATTTGATGTACTTGAGATAAATTGTCATTTCATTGCTCATAAGTTTTTTCAAAAGTAGTGTATGAAAGGAAAACAACAAAAAAGGGATTATTATTTGTAAAATTTAAGGACTCATTTGGTCCGAGGAATCTCGAGATTAAATTTGAGATAAATTTATTTTAAATTTGGTTGGGACAAAATCGTAATATAACTAATCTCACATTAGTTATTCCAAAATTATAGTATTATTTGTAAAACTCAGATCAAGATATCACAATCCTTTAAATTTGTAAGATTGAACTATTTTTTAGGGAAAAATTCAAAAATAGCCAGATTTATAAGTGGTTACTCAAAAATAGCTACAGTTTCAAAAGTAATCGAAATTTGGCCACTTTTCATATAAAGATAAATCTGAACGAAAATATTGTTCAAATACTCCAGTATAATATACTGATCCAACATAATATACTGGAGGTTGGAGCACCAGTGCTCCAATCTCCAGTATATTATACTGAAACTTTCCGCGTGTTGGAATTCCAGCATAATATGTTGGAAGTTCATACACAGGTGCACCGATCTCCAGTATATTATGTTGGATCAGTATATTATACTGAAACTTTCCGCGTGTTGGAATTCCAGCATAATATGTTGGAAGTTCATACACAGGTGCACCGATCTCCAGTATATTATGCTGGAACTTTCCGTATTGCAGTAAAATAGTGACTATTTTTCAATGACTTTGCAAATGCTGGTTATTTTTGAATGACCAGTCCGAAAATTGGCTAGCCCGTACTATTTTTACTACTTTTAACTCAACCTAACTAACGCAAACACATTTTGTTGAAACTAAAAGTCGCGGATTATAAAGAGAATATAAAGAAAAAGATAGGATTCACGTCTTTAACTAGAGATTTTGGATTCGAGTCATGAAAATAATTTTTTTTATTTAGTAAATTTTTTTCTTTTAATGAGTAGCACAACTCCGTATTAGTTAAATTCGAGTACGAATATCAAACCCCCAATGGGAAAAAAAAATTAAGTGAGAAGAGTAACCAAAAGGTCATTATCAACTAGGCTTCTAATTCAAGAATAATCCATAGAGTATCACACGTGTTGGATATAATTGTAACTGAATTATTGAGTTCACATAAACATGTTTCTTTAGTTGTTTTCATCAAAATCCATGGCAATATCATATCTTCTAATCAATATGGTTCACTCTTTTTGCAAGAAATATACTTAATCTCCAGTATGTCCCTTTTTAAAATTCTAATAACTCCATCACAATTTAGAGGCTTCTAGTTTCGCAGTTCCCTTTTAAACAAGTTATTGTATAGTGATTGATTAAATTTGGACGTGTTAGTTTTTAGTTCTCTTGTTGGTTAGAGGAGAGGATTGTAGTAATCACTAGAAGGCCCTAGTTTATGTTTCTTTCTTGTATATCTGTTTTTTTTCGGGGAGTATTATCACTTTTAGCCCGCATAAAATACTATTTATATTTGTAGCCAAAAAAATGTATGAAATTTGTATAATTTTTGTATATAATATATATATATTATTTTTACAGCGACTATACAATGTCATTTTTCCTTCTTTCTTTCCCGTCTTTGTTATTCCATTCGGTAGGAGAAAAACAAAACTCTTTTACATTTTGACATTAAGGTTACTCGAGATTCGAACAACAACAACAATAAGGGACGACCCGGTGAAATTCTACGAGTGGGGTTCTGGGGAGGGTAGTGTGTAAGCAGACCTTACCCCTGCCCCGATAGGATAGAGAGGCTGTTTCCGAAAGATTCTCGGCTCAAGAAAATAAAAAGACGGAGAAAATAGATAATATGTCAGTACCATCAATAAAAATCATAGAAACATAACAGCGTCACATGAGCTAGAAAATAGATGAAGAGCAAAATAATAACCAAAAGATAAAGCTCGGTACTAAGAAAAACGAAAGAGGGGTGTGAACTGAACACTAACCACTAGCAGTCTAAGACTAAATCCTAATAGACTAGCCTCATTCTGGAGCGCCGTAGAGAAATACATAATTATCCCTAACATATAACCTTAATACTCGACCTCCACAACGTCCTGTCTAGGGCCATGTCCTCGGTAATATGAAGTCGCGCCATATCTTGCCTAATCATCTCTTCTCTATTTCTTGGGCCGCCCTCTACCTCTCCTCATACCTGTCAAAGCCAGTCGTTCACACCTCCTTACCGGTGCATCTGAACTTCTCCTCTGAACGTGCCCGAACCATTTGAGTTTTGTTTCTCGCAGCTTGTCATCCATGGGGGCCACACCCACCTTTTTCCGAATATCTTCATTCCTAATATTATTTATCCTAGTATGACCATACATCCATATCAACATCCTCATTTCAGTTACTCTCATCTTTTGGATATGTGAGTTCTTAACTGGCTAACAATCAGCCCCATACAACATGGTTGGTCTAACCACCGCTCTATATAGCTTACCTTTGAGTATCAACGACACTTTCTTGTCACATAGGACTCCAAACACTAACATCCACTTCATCTACCCCACCCTTATATGGTGTGTGACATCCTCATCGATCTCACCATCCCCATGTATCACCTACCCAAGGTACTTGAAACTGCCCCTCTTGGGAATGACTTGTGATTCAAGCCTTACGTCCACTCTTGCTTCCGTCGGCTCGACGCTGAACTTGCACTCTAGGTATTCCATCTTAGCCCTCCTCAACTTGAAACCCTTAGACTCGAGGGTCTATCTCCAAACCTCCAACCTCTCGTTGACTCCGGCTCGTGTCCCATCGATCAGGACGATGTCATCAGCAAATAACATGCACCATGGCACCTCCCCTTGGATACGGTGTATCAATGCATCCATCACCAGGGCAAGTAGAAATTATGGGCTGAGCGCCGACCCTTGGTGTAAACCCATAACAACCAGAAAATCCTCTGAGTCACTTCCCACTGTCTTAACCCGGGTCATAGCTCCATCATACATGTCCTTTATCACCCTAATATAAGCGACCGACACCTCTTTTGCCTCTAGGCATCTCCATAGAACATATCTAGGGACCTTGTCATACGCTTTCTTCAGATCAATAAATACCATGTGCAGGTCCTTCTTCCTATCCCTGTATTGTTCCGCCAACCTCCTAATAAGGTGAATAGCTTCCGTGGTAGAACGCCCCGGCATGAACCCGAATTGGTTGTCTGAAGTAGACACCGTCTTCCTCACCCGCACTTCAACCACCCTCTCCCAAACTTTCATGGTGTGATTCAGTAATTTGATACCCATGTAGTTATTACAGCTCTGAATATCTCTTTTATTCTTGTACAATGGGATCAGCGTGCTCCACCTTCACTCCTCCGGTATCCTCTCCGTACTAAAACTAATATTAAATAGCACAGTCAGCCATTCCAATCCTGCCCTGCCCACACACCTCCAAAATTCTACCGGAATTTTGTCTGGCCCGGTAGCTCTACCCCTACTCATCTTACGCATAGCCCCCACGACCTCTTCCACCTCGATGCGCCTACAATAACTAAAGTCGTGGTGACTCTCGGAATTCCCCAATTCACCTAGCACAATACCCCGATCCCCTTCCACATTCAGAAGTTTATGAAAATAGGTCTGTCATCTCCGTTTAATCTGGTCCTCCTTCATCAAAACTGTACCGTCCTCGTCTTTGATGCACCTCACTTGGTCCAGATCCCGGACCTTCCTCTCTCTCGCTTATCCGACCGGGATAACTTCTTATCACCGCCTTTGTCCCCTAGTTCCTCGTATAGACGAGCAAAAGCCGCAGTCTTGGCCTCCGTGACTGCCAGCTTCGCCTCCTTCCTCTCATTGTTCGTTCTCCTCTCCTCCTCGCTAGCGCTGCCGACTAACTTAAGGTACGCCGCCCTCTTTGATGAACGAATAAATTGAACATAGAACCGCGCAGGGACAGAGTTAGGTGGGTGGAAGGCTGAACCCTCTTGGCCGAAAATTATACTATATATATAATGTTAATTGTTTTTTCATGTATATATATTATGTGTTAAATTCCCTTAGCTTCTTTATGTGTTTATTATTTTTATTTTTTTGAATTCCTTTGGTGAAAATTTTGGTTTCGCCACTGTAAATCACATCTGATAAATATTACTTGATTGAGGTTTCTTTTTTTCTTGCATAATCACGATTAGGGGCGGAACTGATAGCTGACCTGAGAGGGATTGAATTGAATTTCTTTTGTTAAAAAAATTACATATGTTAACTATAAGTAAAAAGTTATATTTATGTATTATGCAAAAAACTTGATATTTTATTTGATAGAGGGGTGAGGAGAGTTTAATTTTTGCCAATGTCGCATGTGACTTATAACTTTTGGTCATAGTAACTATAGCCAATTTCCTTTATGTGTGTGTAATTAAATAAAGGCCAAAGGAAGCAAGAAAAATACCTAGAATAGACAAAACAAAATTAACTAATTTCATTCCTAGGTTTAGTTCATTAGTGCAATCTTGTAGGAAACAATCTAATTCTATTTTATACTCCATAGATTAGATTGAGTCATGGCGTGACTGATAAAGTTGTTGTCATGTGACTAGGAGATCACGAGTTCGAACCATGGAAACAGTCTCTTGCAGAAAAAAAGGGTAAGACTACGTATGATAAATTTTTATAATCCGACTCTTTCTCGAACCCCGCACATAGCGATAGGTTAATGCACCAAACTACCTTTTTTTTAAGATTAAATCAGAATGATAAAAGGAGAACTCAAGTAAATAAAATGTAAAGGAAAATGAGATTCATCAAACTCTTCAAAGGAAAGAAATACAAAGTTTTTGCATTTTCTTTCATTTCAACAAAACTACAAACATACTCTATACATAGTTCATATCCCTCATTTCCTCATAATACATAAACGAACCAAAATACATAATTATACCCATTTTCCCCCTTCCAAAATCATTATAATAAGCAACAACAAAAAAACTAGTACTAGTACACATAGGACTAACCTCTTATATGTTCATAAGAACTTATGATCATACACTAATACATAGTATATTTAAATTTCAAGACACCAAAATAAGGAACTCTTGAATAATAGAACTCAGGCAAGGCAGATACTCGGTAAAATAGTCGACATACGTAGTGGTGCATATTCAGTGAAATAGTTAGAGGTGCGCAAGTTGGTCCAGATATCACCATTATAGACGAAATAAAACTTTAAACCCTAAGCAAATAAAGGCTAAGTTCAGGACCTCCATGACCATCAGGATTCATCATGTAAAAAGCTTCAGAATCTTTAGACCCTACAACTCTTTCAAATTTAGCCCTCATATACATTAATTCACCTTCTGACCCAATTCCATCTCCATCACTTGGCAAAACTCCAGCTCCCATTGAAACTGGCCCAATTGAGTTCAAAATCTTCCATTCCTCAGGCCCACATTCTCTTTTCATTCCATAGCCACATTTTCTCCCATTACAATATGTTCTCCAAATTGGCTCTTCTAACAATTTCACTGCTTTTTTTCCAGTTCTCTTGTCTGCTTCTAGTGCAATTCTAACCAATCCACTAGCCATTTCTCTAACCAAATGGCTAGTTGGAGTGGCCAATTCTACGAAAAATGCAGGACTCAATTTTGGATCTTCTTGAAATGCAAAATGAACATGTCCTCTTCTATACCCAAATAAAGTACCAACAACTTTAGTACCAAGCCCTGACGAAAAATGTGTTCGGCTCTTACCAAATGTAAGAGCCGAACGAAGTATAGAAACTGTCGAGCGTGACAGTTTCTTACTTCTTGGTGCATTCGGTGTCCCTGACAGGGACAACGAATGCATATTCAACTCTTCTTCTCTTTGCGAAGAAGAGTGGAAATTAGTTAAGTAAACTTCATCATCATAATCTTCATCTTCAACTTTTTTCTTAAAGTTGAAGTATCTTCTTGAAAAAGAGAATGACTCATGAGGATTCTTAGCCATAATAGTTCTCATTCTTGAATTAACAAAGGACAAGAGAAGCTAAGGCAGTTGAGAAAATATGTGAAGTTGTTTTTGACTCTAAGTTTTGGGGTTCTAATATTGTGGTTTTATGGGGGTTGAAAATGAAGATTTTTTAACGATTTTTGTGTGAATAAAATCTTGGATTTTGAAACTGAAGAAGTAGCAGTAGAATCCTGACAAAAAGAAGGTGAGCAGACCTACCTAACTGTATCAAGAAAATGGAGCAGAGAGAACAAGAGACAGAAAAAATAGAGGAAACAAAAGGAGATGTGAATTTTGGAAAGGAATTGGGAAAGCTAAATAGTAGTGGAAAGATTGATGACAAAGGATTTATCAGACAAAAAAGATTAACATTATCTTTTTTGTTTTTTGTTTTTATTACAGATAAGTACTTAGTAATAGTAGTATAAGTTAAAAGGTGTTATCAACCATCAAAGATGTAATGCAGTGAATAGGCTGTTTTTTCCCTAACTAGAGGTCTCGAGTTTGAGCTTTGAGTATAGAAAAATTCTTGGTAAGAAACACTTCCCCGAATGGGGCCCTACTCAACGTGAATCCGAATATAGTTGGACTTCAATACAGGTATTGGATACCAGATAAAAAATAAATAAAAAAAAGTGTTATTAGTTTATGTGTATCTCTATTACTCATCAGTTATTTATTACCTTCCACCTGTGGTGATACTAGCTAATTTCATTTACCAATATTTAGATAGATAGAAAAATTTTTATCTAAGTATCTTTTTTATGATGTTACTTGAATATTTTTTTCTCATGATTTTTATTCATTTTATTGACGGTTAAGTCACTATTTTTAGTTATTCATTTTAAGTTGGTCCATATTTTAACATTTGATTGACTAGTTTATTACTATTATTATGTCATTAGTTTGAAGTGCAAATAAGTGAGGAATGTTGGGATGAACTGGGTATTTCGTCTGATAAATTATGAGTGACAAAACTCATGAATTAACAAACATGAGAAACGTCTGAATTTCTAATTCATTTTTATTGATTGGGAAACACAATTCCAAACGTGTGAAGATAATACAAAAATGTAAATGAGAATATTCATAAAAAAAAAAAAAAAAAAAAAAAAAAAAAAAAAAAAAAAAAAGAAGAAGAAGAAGAAGAAGGTGTCTTGCTATCTCGTAGCGAAAATCTCTTCGCTAAACATAATTAGAATTTAAGTTCTACAATTGACGATGTAATAAGTTAGTCAAAAAATAATCAAAAGTCATATAATTTCATGACAAGCATTAACTGATAATCTAAAAGAACATAAAATTAACTTTCTATCACCAATTAAACTATATTAATACTATAAATAATTTTATACTATTATTCTATATGATTTAAAGTAATTTAATTAAAGTTAATCTCAATTAGTAGATTTTGTACTTATTCGGTTACCGGTTCAATCCGTAAAAACAACCTCTTACTGGAAAGATTGCTATAATAAATCTAATATGATCCAACCTTTTCCAATTATGTGCGTAACGGGAGCGTAATGTACATATATGTCTTCTTTTTAATTTTGTTTTCGATGATCTATCGGAAATAACATTTTTATCTCACACGTAGTAGGGAAAAGATCTACATACACTTAGGGGTCGTTTGGTTTAAATACATATTATGTTAGGATAAGTTATGTCGGGATAGGTTATGATGTGATTGGTTATCCTGGTATTATTTTTTATCCATTGTTTGGTATGATGTATTAAAAATGACATGTATGCATAATTTCTAAGAAGAAGTTATAAGTTATTCCGTCAGTAATTATCCCACCCTCTACAAGGTATAAGTTATTCTGGTAGTAATTTTAATTCCCGAATAACTTATACCAAGTTTGCTAACCAAACAAAGTATTAAGATGGTATTAAATTTCCAGCACTATTTCTGCTTATACCTCGAACCAAATGACTCCTTAATCTTCCTTATTGTTGCGGAAGCCAAATGTATATAATGTGAATAAGTCACAACTACTATACCAAAAATTATGACAGCCACCAAATAATAAATAAGACAATAAAGCAACAATAAAAGGAACACCAGAATTTACGAGATTTGGCTAATTTTGCCTACTCCTCGGACACAACCAATATTTNTGTTGCGGAAGCCAAATGTATATAGTGTGAATAAGTCACAACTACTATACCAAAAATTATGACAGCCACCAAATAATAAATAAGACAATAAAGCAACAATAAAAGGAACACCAGAATTTACGAGATTTGGCTAATTTTGCCTACTCCTCGGACACAACCAATATTTTATTCCACTCCAAAAATACAAGTGAAATAATACTAAAGAAAGAAGATACAAATGTCTTGAGAAGATAAGAAGGCAAATGAGAGGTGTTTTTAAATCCTAAACATTAGGCCTTCTTTTACGGGGGAAAATCCCCCCCAACTCTACTTCCCAACCGATGTGGGACAATTTGATATCTTCAACAAATCTCCACCTTGGCAAAATTCCACATCTTCAATTCTCTCTCAATAACAAATTTTGGTTGTGTCTTCATCTTCAATCTTCAGTGTTCAACAATGTTGATCAAATCCAAACAATGTTGAAACTTGATCGTAGTCACCACTTTTGTCAGCATATCAGGAGGATTCTCTGTAGTATGAATTTTCTTCATCGTGACTCCACCTTCTTCAATGATTTCTCGTACAAAATGATACCGAACATCAATGTGCTTCGTCCTTGCATGATAAACTTGGTTCTTTGCTAATTGAATAGCACTTTGACTATCACAAAAAAATTGTGATACTTTTTTGTTCAACACCAAGCTCCTTTAGCAATCCTTGAAGCCAAATTGCCTCCTTTACAGCCTCTGTAATAGCCATATACTCTGCCTCTGTTGTAGACAAAGCAACTGTTGACTGCAAAGTAAACTTTTAACTGACTGGTGCCTTTGCAAAAGTAAACACATAACCAGTAGTTGATCTTCGTTTGTCCAGATCACCTGCAAAAGCTGAGTCACAATATCCAACTACAGACTGATTGTCTTCCTGCTCAAAAACTAACCCAACATCTATAGTATTGTGAATATACCGTAGAATCCATTTCACAGTNTTCAAGTTGTTGTTGAGGTTCCTGAGTTGGAATCTCCTCTACTGGCTCTCCTTCCAGAGGGTAATCTTCATTTGTTTCCTCCTCTGCTTCTTGTGTAGGAAAAATAAATTTTCCCTCAAACTCCACCTGCTTAGAAGCACCTTCATTTTGTTTGGTATCTTCTGTTACCTTATTTACCATAGCAAATTCATCAAAGGTAACATCCCTGCTGAATATTACTTTCTTTGTCATAGGTCACCATAAGTGATATCCTTTGACTCCAGAAGTAATTCCCATAAAAATAGCTTTCTTTGCCCTTGGATCCAATTTTGACTCTGTCACATGATAATATGCAGTTGAGCCAAATACGTGCAAAGAGTCATAATCTACAACAGGCTTTCCATACCATTTTTCAAATGGTGTCTTGCTATCAACAGCAGCAGATGGTAAGCGATTAATGAGGTGGCATGCATGTGTAACTGCCTCAGCCCAAAATTCTTTGCCCAAGCCAGTATTGGACAACATACACCGTACCTTCTCCAGCAAGGTCCGGTTCATACGTTCTGCCACTCCATTCTGTTGTGGTGTATGTCTAACAGTGAAGTGTCGGACGATGCCATCATTTTCACAGACCTTATTGAAATGATCATTTTTGTATTCACCTCCATTGTCTGTGCGAATACACTTGATCCTCCTGCCTGTTTGATTCTCCACCATCGTCTTCCATTTGAGAAAAATTCCCAGCACTTCATCTTTGTTTTTCATTGTATACACCCACACTCTTCGAGAAAAATCATCAACAAAGGTTACAAAATAGTGCTTCCCACCCAATGAAGGTGTTTTGGAAGGACCCCAAACATCAGAGTGTACATAATCCAAAATGCCTTTAGTATTATGGATCGCTGTACCAAATTTAACCCTTGTCTGTTTCCCTTTGACACAATGCTCACAAAACTCCAAGTTGCAAGCCTTTACTCCTTTTAACAATCCTTGATCTGATAGAGTTTTCAAGGATTTTCCTCCAGCATGTCCCAAGCGCATGTGCCATAGCTTGGTTGCTTCTGCCTCTTTGTCGTCACTGGATGTCACTGTCGCTGTCCCAATAACTGTACTGCCACGATAGCGGTACATATTATTATTCTTCCGATTAGCCTTCATTACCACTAGTGCACCGGAGCATACTCTCATCACTCCATTTTCTGCAATGATTTTGAACCCTTTTGATTCTAGGGCTCCCACAGAGATGAGATTCTTCTTCAAATCCGGTACATATCGAACATCTATCAATGTTCTGATCATTCCATCATGGTTCCTTAATCGTATTGAACCAATGCCATATGAGGTAAGAGGGCTGTTATCCGCTGTGTGGATGACTCCATATTCTCCTTCTTGAAATTCCACGAACCAGTCCCTGTTGGGACACATATGATAGCTACAAGCCGAGTCCATCAACCATATGTCTGATGATGTTGATGACTCTGTTGTAACTAATGAGAAGTCTGAATCATCACAATCAGCTACATTTGAATCCATAATGGCCTTTCCATTGTTATGTTTGGCCTTATTCTTCAACTTCGGACAGTCTTTCTTCCAGTGCCCTTTTTCTCGACAAAAGGCACATTCATCTTTGCTGGGTCTGGATCTTGACTTGGATCTTCCCTTCTTTGTCCTCGTTTGATTTTGAGGACGACCCCTCACAAATAGTGCTTCTCCTTCTCCGCCCTTCTGTTTTTCTCGCTTTCTTTGTTCATAGCTGTACAAAGCCGAACAAACTTCTCTGAGAGAAACTTCGTCATTTCCATGGAGTAGAGTAGTTTCAAGGTGCTCGTACTCATCAGGAAGTGACGCCAACAACATCAAGGCCAAGTCACCATCATCATAAGTTGTATCCATATTTTGCAAATCTGTGACCAACTTATTGAAACTGGTGATATGTTCATTCATCGTGGTACCAGGAACATAGGTGAAGTGAAACAGTCTCTTCTTCATGTACAATTTATTTTGACTGTTTTTCTTCAAAAATTTATCCTCCAGTGCTTTCCATAATTTACTTGCAGAAGTTTCCTTTGTGTATGGATATTTCTGCTCTCTAGCAAGGTAGGATCGAATAGTACCGCAAGCAACACGGTTGAGAATCTTCCAATCTTATTCTCCAATAACATCTGGTTTCTTTTCTTCAATGGCCAGATCTAGCCCTTGTTGAAAAAGGACATCTAGAACTTCGCCTTAGCACATCCCAA